CGGAGGGACGTCGGAGGAGGGATGAGGAGGCAATGCGGGAAGCCAGGGTAGGAACCCAAGGGCACAGCGCCCCCTGCACACATGAAGCTGGCTTCCAGGACTGAAGAGTGAGAAGCTAATCTGGGGACAGGAACAGGAAGGGAAGCTCAGGGATCTGGGGACCTGGCTGGAAAGCTTCATGGACACCAATAAAGAAGGACCTCCTCCCTGAACTTATGCTTTGAGCTCTCTCAGGTCACTCCTCTCCACCTGTCATCTCTCTCCAACACATGGGAACAAGCTGGCACAGTCTCAGAAACAGACAGGCAAACAGTCGGAACCTTCTGCACGTGGCAGAAGCCTGTGGAGAAATAAATGGATGGGAGGAGCAAGAGGCCTCCCCAACGGTGGCCGTGAGAGGCGACGGGCTTGCCAACTCAGTCTCTGCTTCTAGCCCGTCCTGAGCCTGCTGCCAGACTTATTTCCATTTTCCATTTGACCATCCACCCAGCATGACCACCCGCTGCATGCCCACTCTCAACAGCACCCTGCCATCTAAGGTGCACCTCGACTCCATGGGCTCTCTGCCTGGTGAGGGGCGCAACCAGAGGAGCCCCTCCCCACACACCCAGGGCTCAGAGACCTTGGGGCTCCTCCCACAGCGTGGCTTTCAAGGCCCCTCGCAGTCAGGCCCAGCCCACCTCTCCTGCCTCATCAGGGCCCTGCCCTGCACTCCACTCAAGCCAGCCTCGCTCACCAGACAGCTTGGGCCTCTCACTGCCTTTCCTCTTCCTGTGGTCTTTTGCCGTCCCACAGCCTCTACAAACCCCAGGACAGCGAGTGTAACCCAGAGGTTCCAAGCTGGATAGTTCTGGGCTAGCATCCTGGCTCTGCCACTTACTGGCAGTGCCCCACCCTCTGGGCTTCAGCGGCTCCATCTGTGACTCGACTGACAACACCCCTCAGGCCGAGTGCCAGCGCGGCACCTGGCACGGGGTAAACACTCGGTGAGGCAGTTCTCCTCCCTCTGCGCTCCTCTTACAAGCCTCACCACAGCACTTAACACTTGGCCGGGCTGTTGTTTTTATTGCTTTATGTCCCTTGTTTTCCCAGCTGGACCATCAAGATCCTGAAGACACCTACATCATTGGCTTTTCTGATTTCAGAGCCATTCGTTGTAGGAAATACAGACAATCTATTACACTCAAAAAAGAAAAGGAAGTCACCTGTAATCCCCGAGATAACCACTGAAAACATTTTGGCTTACTCCCTTGCACCTCTTGTGCATACATGTTTTCTTTCTTGAAAATTAAGATCATGTTGCATAAGGATTTTTGTGTCCTGATTTCTTCACTCAACACCCCAAGGTGAATGTTTCCCCACATCAGACATTCTTCAAAAACATTTTTGGACATCCACATAACACTCCAGCATGAGGAGCACTGTCATTTATCTAATCAACACTTCTGTGAAGGGAAGTCGGGCTGAGTCCCCAGACACGGAGACCTGCGCCAGCACGCTTGGAGCTACAAACCTGCCAACCACCAATTACCTTCCTCCTGTGCTGATTAAATGCATTTCCTCCCTTCTTCTAAGAAAGCCCATTTCCTGTGGACAAGATTTGTGGTGAAAAATGGAACTGGCTATGATGTGTGAGCCAGGTTCCCTGCCCTTGTCCCCCAGGGTCTGGTGTCAGCCCCATCAGCCTAGGGAGCACCTGGCAGCCCCCACTGCCCTGGCCCTGGCCCCTGCAAATCAAAGGCCCTTTCTGCCTGCAGGCCAGAGAGTGTGAATAAAGTTCAAGTTGCAATGCTTCCTTGTCTAGCTCAGTCATCGCAGCATCATAGGAGCAGCAGCCACCCGTAAGAGGGTGTTGAACCTAGACCAGCCAGGACCCAGGAAGCCATGACAGAGAGCTTCAATTTTAAAGGGCTTAAGTGTGCTCTGTGTGGCCCCAAAAGGTAAACGTGGGACCAAGGGACAGAAGCCACAAGGAAACAGATTTTGGCTCAATATAAAGAATGCGCTAAATCAGCCTGAGCAATGCAAAGAATCAACGGGCTATTACTTTGTAAGGGGGTGAATCCCCGTCACTGGAAAAACATCATGGCTGAGATTACTGGGAAGGAATTCAGGCATAAATGATTAGACCACATGATGTTCAAGTCCCTTCCACCCTGAGAGGGAGCTGTATGACTCCCATAAATGCCCTTACTCCTCCAACAAACTTGTAGGACCCTATCACAGGGAAACCCCATGGCAGCACCTCGTCTGTGAAACACCTCAGTTTCCAGATGTTCCTACGACATCGAGCGCCTGGCTTCCTGAGAGCTACTTGTGCATCTTGTAGAAGAGTCTGCAGGGCATTTCAGAACCAAGGGAAACATTTTCAGCCTATTGAAAACCAAACCACATGGGAATATACCATAGCTAATGTGATGTAAGTTATACCATAAACAATGAGGGAATGTTTCTCAACAAAAATGCCCCACTTCTTGTGTTTTCTTCCTCTTTTTTCTGGTTGCTAAAACTTAATTAGCCTCACAGCCCATCTGGCAATTTACAGGCAATTACCCAGGATGCTTTGCATGGCTACTCAGGCCATTCTAGGTATCTGAAGTAACACACTCAACTGAGGCGTGATCAGCATTCCTTCTCGTACAGACTCTGCCTGCCAGCCGCCCCTCCAGAACCGACAGGGCAGTGACAAGGAACAGCTTGTACCCAGGGCAACAGGAGGGCCCGGGAAGAACTGAGCTGCTGGCTTCCCCCTATGAGTGCCCTTCCCAAACAGGAACAGACACATTCTAACAGAGGCCCTGCATCTTGCATGGATGCTTCGCCCAGGGTCAGACTTCCTCAGGTGCCCACCCAGCTACTTTCTGGTTGGGAGCACAGGGAAAGGCAGAGAAGCAGTTTTAAAGGAGCCTTGATATTCGTGGGTTGGGAACCTTGCCCTTTCCAAAATCAGCAGAAGGAGGGTGAGGAGTCAAGAGCTCTAAAATACTGAAGCAGAGGGAGGGGACACTCTATGAAGCCCACGGCCACCCTCCCTTGCCTGTCTGACGGCCAGTCTGGTGAAGAGGTGTGCTCAGAGAGGGAAGGCCCCTCAACACTCAGCGCCAGGGGCCACTTGTGACCACTCACTGGCTGAACCCCCACCTCTGACCCATGTTTGTAGGCCTTCCCCAAGGAATGTGGCTAGTCAGGAGTTAGGTTATAAACACCATAAATATACCCAGTTTAACTTAAAAAAAAATTGCTATTTTAAAACCTACGATTTTTAAAAGCCGAAAAATAACTGGTCCTAGGCTGGCTCAGGAAGGGTAGTTTGCTGCAGACTTCACTGTCTGCCCTGGAGATGGAGATGACCCAAGGAAGGTGAGCTGTCCTAGTCAGGGTCCCTCCTGGAAGCCCCAGGCCAGCTCCCTGGGCAGGCTGTTCCCAGGCACCAAATGCAACCCTGTCAGCGGGAAACCCACAGAGACCCACACTAGAGAGTAGAGGGCAGGGGTGGGAGCTCTGGGCTGACTTTGACCACTGCCCCTCAACCAAGGCAGCGGAGTGGGATGGGCACAGTTAGATCTGCTTCAGAGAGGGAAGGCAACTCAATAAAATCAACTGAGGACTGAGTTCCCAGGAATTGCAAGAGCAGGGAACAGGCCTGCCAGGAAGCAAGGAGGAGCAGGGGCAGGGGAGGGTTTGCTGGATTCACCTCAAACCAAGCTCCTGAGATAACACATGCAAGAAGATGACTCAAAGCATGTAAGTGGTTACATTCCCACTCCCCATATCCATATATAAGAAAGAGGCCATGTGTCATAGTGGTTAGAACATGACCCTCGGACCCAGAGTGCCTGGGTGCACGTTCCTACTCTGCCAAGTACTGGTGGTATGAATGTGAGCAAGCCTTAACTGCTCTGTATCTGGAAAATGAAGATGATGACATTAGTACCCACTCAGGGCTGCTGGGAAGATGCAATGAGCTAATACATGCAAACCACTAAGGAGGGTGCCTAGCACACGGTAAGCACTAATAAGAAGTGTCAGCTCTCATCATCATTACTGTGTTAGATGCCTGCCTGGGGGATGTCAGTGCTGCCTCGGGGGTGAGCTGAAGCCCTTGGCTCAGCTATGCCCAGGCTGTGCCACCCTGGCCCCACCCACAAGGATGTCTCGGGGAGGGCTTCCAGGAGAGGGATGGTCACAGGCACCCTGCCCTGAGCTACTTCCTGGACTGACAGAGGGAGCACTAGGGTCCAAAGCCCAGGGTCCTAGTCAGGCTCCCATTCCATAGGGAGCCTGAGGAAAGAAATCTTTTTTTTTTTTTTTTACATCTTGTGTTTTATAAGAAGAAAGTACAAAATTATACCTCAGAAAAGCAACCAACCCTTCAACCACCAACTCAGCCTCTCCTCTGGGCCACCTCTGAGGTCATGAGTACATGAGTGCATGAGGCTGCGCAGCCACAGTCCCCACCCCCAGGCACTTGGCCTCGGCTGGGCAGGGAAGAGGCCTTCTGCCAGAGACAAGGCTCTTTGCTTGACAGCAAACTTGCTAGACAGCAAAGTTTTGGTGAATAAAGGAAAATTCTGGTATCCAGCTGAGATGGGACAGGGAGTCACACAGGCACTTGGCTATCTTGTCCACCAAAACTCCTGGTGTCTGACCCAGAACACGAAGGCCTTGACGCCTCACCTCACAACCTGGTCTGAGGGCTGACAGGGAGACTGGAGAGGGGGCAAAGGTCTGCAGTCAGGGACCTTCCTTCCTGGGGTGCAGACTTGCAGAGAGCTCTCCCTACAGAACGGTTTCTGGAGCAGAGTTAGAGGGGGACAGAGTTTAGAAAGAAGGCACAGGACACTCGGTGGATTTCTCGATGTCTAAGTCACTTCAGTCAGCTCTTCCCTGGGATACAGGTCTACGTACTGCTGCAAACTCCAGCAGGGTCCACGGGGAGACCAAGGAAGCGCGTTTCCACGGAGCAGCACCCCGCCCTTGAGGAGGCCAACGGCACTTACCAGGAAGCGGACATCGTCAAAGCCATTCAGAAGCAACTTGCTCTCATACTGCTGCAGCCCAACCGCCTCCAGCCACTCCCCGACGCTCTGCTCCAGCGACCGCGAACCTGACGAGAGAGGAATCGGCAGACGCTTGAAAAGGGAAAAACCATTAAGGCGGTAGCAGCGGCACTCAGAGGAAGACAGATGGCACTGCCACATCATAGTCATTACCATAAAGCAGCCAAACTATGTAAAAGAGAGCAGAGAGCAGAGGACCCGCGGCTCGTTTTCCGCGTACAGGCCAAGGGCAGGGCAGCCCGGAGTGGCACACACTCCCCAACCTGGGGCGGCTGCCGCCCACTCACACCCCCTCGGTCTGAGCTGCTCCGGGGTCGCGGCAGCACATGCACAATCTCTGCCCACAGGCTGGGGGAAGCCAGCCCCCAGCGGTCTCTGGGTCAGCTCCTCGTCAGTGTTCACACTGAGGTATTTCAGGAAGTCTGTTCCCACGGGCACTAGAAGGGGCTGGGGGAGCTCCTCTCATCCATGCAACTCCTGGAGCCCCCGGAGGGCTGTGGGCGAGGGACAAGTTCTGCGACCTTGCAGCATAAACTGGTCAGGAGAGGGCACACATCTTCATGCAGCTGAGGGGCACAGGCACACAGCGAGGGCTCCGGGAGGGCTGCGGCGGCGGCTGTTCACAGGGACCCAGCACATGCAACGCAAGCAGCATTAGAACACGGCAGAGGGAGAAGAGACTTTACTTGTTTGCCCCCAGCAGTCCCGGAATAAGCAAACCATGGCTGCCGGCCCTTTGTGCTCAGAGGCTCAAGGCAGCGAGGGGCCGAGTGGGGTGCATGGGCCAGGACCCGGGGGGCCAGGCTCAGGTGTGGCTCTGCTGGGATGGCAGCATCGCATTCCGACGGGCTGCGCGGCCAGCGGGGCCAGGAGCCCAGTCCACAGTTAGACTCTGGCCGCCGGCGAGCGGGGCGTCTCCCGGGCGAGGGCGCTGTCTGAAGGGCTGCCTTCCCAGGCTGGGCTGTTTTGCAGGGGCTGGGCATTCATTCTCCTCTTCTGATAGTGGCTGCTCCTGTGACTCGCCTGCCTGCTCAGGTGGAAAGCAGGCAGGCAGATCCAGTTCTTGGCTAAAGAAGACAAAACCCAGCCAGATAAAAGAAAGAGAAAAAGGGAGCAGTCCTCTGTCAGCTGAGCTGTGGCGGCTTAAGTCTATTCACGTTCTGCGCTGTTCTCTCTTTGGCTGAGTGATAAAGACAGCAACTGTCTTCCCAGGGTCTCCGGATCTTGGCGTTCTCCTCTAAGGATGAGCAGGCAAGGGAGGACCTTTATTTGCTGTGCTGCTTGAGTGGGACAGGGGAGTGTGGTGGTACAGGGAGGAAAAAGTTCAGCCCTTCCTGGTGGACCTTGAATGTTCTGAGTTGAACGCCTTAACCCTCACCTACTTCTCTGCTTCTCATGGGCAAGAAGAGATAAAAGAAGGAAAAAAGGAAAAGGGAGGAAAAAAAGAGGTGCAAGGAAGGAAAAAGAAGAACCAACTACAAAAACATCACCTCCAGAGAACTCTTGACACGGTGAAAGTCATTCGTTGTTCCCGGCACCTTCTGTCCCCAAGGGCAGGCCGAGGCCAACTGGCTTGATTATGGAGACCCTCGTAACCCACTGTCCCAGGCTCCCCCTATCCTCTGTCCTCTGCGGAACAGACGGTGGTCAGGGACCCGGTGGCCTCCCGATGCACGCTGCAGTAGCACTCCAGGATGCCGAGTCTGGGGGATACTTGAGCTCCCCTGCCCTTGAGTGGGGTTGTCTGCTCCAGGAACCTAAGCAGCAGGCTCCTGTCTGCCCGTGAAGTCAAGTGTCCCCGGCTGCTGATTCATTCCTGCTTGTAATCCCCCAGCCGGGCAGCTGTGGTCCCGCCTGCTGCCGGTGGATGTGTGCGCTTACAGAACCGCAGCAGAATGCTTTGTCTAAAGGCGCCTGGGCTCCACGCTGCCTGCTGCCGGCTCCACAGTCCTTGCTCACTCTCATAATGTCTGGCCCTCCCCTTTTGCCCCTCCCCACCCTCCTCCCTTCCATGCTCAGGAAAACACACCAGGGATCGGACATCAGAGCAGAAGCTGCCGTTGCTGCTGCCACCGCTGAGGGAGAAGGAGACAGCAGCACTAGCATCATAGCAAAATGACAGATTTCCCAATATCTGATATTGGCCAATACACATGCATATGAAAGGCGGAGATGGCAAAACTCTATCTCCAGCTCAAAGGGCTGGAAACAGCTTATCAGAGAGAACGGAGAAGGAACATTCCTACAGTTTTGGCCAATAGTTTCTAGGACAGCCAGAGAGGGGACAGAGGAATGACACTGCCCTGAAGGCATAGCCCACAGGTTAAGTGACCTCATATTCGCCACTTAGGAATGACCATGTCTCTGAGAAGATAAGGCAGAGTATCACAAAAACAGGCGATAAAATAAGGAGGTTACACCTGATGTTCCTCAGGCGAGCCATACCAAACAACTTGGGAAGAGACTTCTCTCCAGGCCGGGCAGAGCCCAGGGGAGAAGCGCCAGGCCCAGAGCAGGCAACTCATAATCCGGAGGAGGAGAGCATGGGAGGGGAGGCCCCAAGGACAAGGGGAAACCAAGACCAAATCCCTGGTACAGTTTCGGAGACAAAAGAGGTAACATGTACAGAGACAAAAACCCAGGGACCACATGGCACCCTCTAGACACGCTGGGAGGCACCTGCATCCCAACAGGCTGTAGAGGGTCCCAGTAAAGAAGGGGCTCTGCGTGCAGAGGATCGGGCTCCTGGAGGAGCCTGCACCTCATGCCTACTCACAGCTAAAACAGCTGGCTTTAGCAAAAGAAAGTCAACGTTTTCTCCCGTTCATGGAACAGGCCTTTGTTGAAAGAAGCCAGAGTGGCCTGGGCCAGTGGGAAAGCTTAGCCTCCCTGGCTCCTGACAGCAGGGCGAGTTGTAAAACCTGTCTGTTGGGGATTCCGGTAACTAGCTCCAGTGCTGCAGCTCAGAGACTCAGGGCCCAAAGCAGGAGTGAGACTCAAGTGCCATATAGAGTCTCGCCCTTCAGGACACGATCCTCTGCAAAACCAGTCATGCTGGGCAATCCCATGCTTAGCTAAGGACTACGTGGTGGAGTGGCCTGGTCCCCGGACCAGGGAGGCAACCCCAGATCTCTTCTCCTAGATCCAAAAGCCCAAGGACAATCTGAACCCTGATATCATTCAAAATAAACAAGAATTCTGCTTTGATCTGGGCTGAAGGCTGGTGCTCCCTGGGGTCCTGGGGAAAGTCTCCCTGTCAGATGGAAGACAGAGTTCATGGGCAGACATGAGCCCACCCTCTCCATGCTTCACGGTCTGGCAGTGGTACTGATACAGCAGGCTGGGGCTCTACAGCATGGGTGGACGCACTCTCTGTTGAGGTGGCCACCCTCGTGTGTCTGCCACATACTTTCCTAAGCTGGGGTATGGAGGATGGTTCAACACAACAAGTACTAAAACAAGATTGTGTGTTGGGATCCAGAAAGCTAGGAGGATATCAGACCAACTCTTGCCACTCTCATGGGTTCATGGGGGGCAAAAACTGGTGGGTGGGACCAGCAGGGCAGGGAAAGAGCTCCGTGTCACCACCTCCAAGGAGAAGGGCTCTTCCAGAAGAATGTTCTCCAGAGGTGCTGCCACATCTTCTGATTTAGCAAAGCCAAGAGGGAATGGCCTGCTTCTGACCCCAAATTCTCCATCACATGCAAGTGCTTTAGGCTCCTCGGACATAGAGGGGTACAAGGAAGCAGAAAGTAGCCTCAACTGAACTGACTGCTATAGATCCCATCCCTTGCTGTCCCCAAAGAACAGCTTTGAAAATGGCAACAGTGTTTGTCTCAGTCCTGAACATCTCCTCCCAAAAAACACTTGACTCTTGGTAAAGCCTGCAAACTACAACAGTGCAACATCGCTTGCCTGAGTGTAAGCAATGGCCCGGAAATAGATCCACAAATTTAGCCGGAAGAGCCACCTCTGCAGACCCCACCCTAATCCAAGAGTGACAAAGATGGACCAAATCTGGCTGGGTCTTCTCTACTAGAACCCAGGGAACCCAAGGCTGCTGGAGGGAGGGTGGCTTCAGGAACCTAGTCTGACAAATGGTGGAGGGAGACAAGCCAGGGGAATAGACACCCCTTGTCTCTAGGTTTCTCAGTACGAGTCAGTAATAATTTCATAGATAAAAACAAGCATGGCTACTACTGACTGAGTACCTCTTTAGCTCAAGTATTTGTATATATTACTCATTCCCAACAAACCTATGAGGTAGATACTATTATCCAATATTGTAGATAGGGAGCTGGGGACTCAGAGAGATTAAGTGACTTGCCCAAGACACACATGTTTAGAACCAGGATTTGAACCCAGGGCTGAGGCTCCAGAGCCCATGCTCTCTCCACAAGCCCCTCAGCAGCTCCTTTCTGCCCAGTGTGCACACTTCCCCCTGCCCATCAGACTTTCTGCCAGGGCCAGAGGCCCATGGAGGAGCCACAGGTGTCACCTGGGGCTAAGAGGTCAATCCTGGATGGAGCCTCCCGAGTGAGCACGAATCCCACCCCTTCAGTGCAGAGGCATTTCCTCACCAAGGAGGAGGCCAGGTTCCTGCTGAGCTGCTTTCAGCCTGGGTGCCCTGGTGGCAGGACAATCTGCAGAGGCTTGGGGGAAAGGGTATGAGGGTTTTTATGAGAGGCACCTTTAAGAACGTCACCTCACCTGAGAAAGCAACACAACCATAATTCTATTATCAAGGAAAAGAGCTCAGATACAGCCTCCCTAGTTCCCTGCTTCGCACAAAGGAAACAGAGGCAGACCTCATCCCTAGGGCGTTGAAACAAAAAGAATACCCAAAGCAGCAGTGATCGGAAGTAAAAACGGTGAGTGACTAAGTAAATGGAAAAATGGAGAGACAGACACAGGGAGGAAAGAGCAAAGCCGACTCCTCCAGGGGATGCAGGCTAACAGTCTGGGACCACTGGTCCAACCCCACCCACTGCCACTGTCATGGATTAGGCAAATGAGAGCCATGTTCTCATGAAGAGTCAGTGCCAGAGCCGCCTGGGAAGCTGGGGAGACCAGCACTGCAGAGCACTCCAATTTAAGTCAATCTGAGAAAACCGACATTCACGAAAATAATTATAAGTGACAATTGTTCATTAAAAAAGAAAAACATTTCCTAATAGGCAGCCTAAAATTCATTTTGTACACTTTCCCCTCCAATATGTAAAAGGAGTCATAGCTCAAAACTAACAGCCAGATGGGCTGCCTAGATATATGAGGTTCTGAGCTGTAAGAGCATGATGTGCTCTGAGGCTGACTCTCTCACCCTTAAATGTCTGTCTTCTCTGTCAGAGGAAACACTTGAGCCAGAAGGAGCCAAAGGGCTCTGTTCTGAGGGGAAAATGGCTGCTTGGTACGATACCTGAGATCTTCTGCTGTTCCTGAGAAAAGTCAATCCCTTCTCCAATAGAGCTCATGATTTTCTCAATCTGAAACGGAAGAAAAAGGAAAGGCTGTCAGCCTCAGGTTAAACATTGCCAGCTTACCATCAGTGCTCTGGGGTGGGCCTCCAGGTCTCTTCCAGATGATTCCAAGGTCCAGCACCAACCTGCAAGGTACCAGAACTCATTGCCGCTCAGATCAAGAAAGGCCCTTCTCATGTTCATTGCAGCATTATTCACCATAGCCAAGAAGTGGAAGCAACCTAAGTGTCCCTCGACTGACGATTGGATTAAGAAAATGTGGTATATATATACAATGGAATACTACTCAGCCATAAAAAAAGACAAAATCGTCCCATTTGCAACAACATGGATGGGCCTGGAGCGTATTATGTTAAGTGAAATAAGCCAGAAAGAGAAAGACAAACACTGTATGATCTCACTCATATGTGGAATATAAACCAACACATGGACAGAGAAAACTGGACTGTGGTTACCAGGGGCAGTGGGGGTGGGGGGTGGGCACAAGGGGTGAAGGGAGTCATATATATGGTGATGGACAAACAAAAATGTACAACCCAAAATTTCACAATGTTAGAAACCATTAAAACATCAATAAAAAAAAAATGGAATTTTTGATGATAAAAAAAAAAAAAAGGCCCTTCTCTGGCCACAGCCCAACAAGGTCTAACGACACACTCTGAAGGGAGAGAGCGGGGAACAATCTGGGCTCAGCTGCTGGAAATGCCAAAGAGCCTCCCTTCTAAGGCATTTATATACCACTCCCCCCACAGTTCTCCCAGACCCCGCAGAGATCGGGCAGAGGGTGCAAGAGCAGACGAGCCCTAGCAAATTTCACTGCTCATGCTAGAATTTAACCTCTATGAGAGTGAAGACTTTGCCAGCTTTGTTCCATGCTGTATCCCAAGTGCCTAGAGCAGTGCCTGGCAAATCGTCAGCATTCAACACATAATTGACATCGCATGACTGTCAGCTCTGAGGTGTGAGGACAATTTCTAGAGCTGAGACAAGCAGAGCACCTGAACACAGGAACCTCTTGGAAGCCAAGGTGAGGCAGGCACATAACCCTGAACGGAGGATCTTTTGCTCCTTCGAAGCCAGCAGTCCTGGACAGAGCCCTGCATTCAGAGGATAAGAAGGAGCGTAGACACTCGTTCTTCCTCTGGACCACAGCAGAGAGAGCTGGTCTCAAAGCAGGCAAATGTCTCCAGCATCGCCCCTGTATGGACCACCTGTCCCAGCCATCTGGCTTTGATCACTCTGAACCAGATCCAAACCCCCTACTCCAGGAAACCTGGCCAGGGGCAGGACCGGGCAGTGAGGAGGGGGCCGCCTTCTCTCCCTGCCCTCCTCTTCCTTTTAGGGTTGCAGTGATAATGAGCTCATTCACTGTTCTTTTTTCCAAAGAAATGAAAAGAGGACCTTTTGTACCAGGGCTTGGATGCTTTTTCCTCTAAGTGCAAGTAAGGAGCTTGGGTCTGACAATCAGAAAAACAACAACTCTCCAGCTAGCCTCCAGCTGGCAGACAAAGACAGCACATTTGACACCGGCAGAAGAGCACAGAGCAAGCACCACTTCTCCCCTTGTAGCGGGGAGTGGCCAGGGTTGGGGGGTGGGGTGTTCTTCTCCTCCAGCCACAGAAACAATGTCGCTCAGGCAGTCACTGGATTGCCTGTGAAAGCACAATGCGAACTCCATCCCTGAGCTCAGCAAAAGCAGGGAAGCACAACACATCTGACCCGTGGAGCAGGCAGAGGGTGTGCCTCTACTTATCGGGCCCAGCAGCCCAGAGGCCGGCACAGAAGCGGGCAGCCCCACAGCAGCTCTGCACTGCCCCTTGAAGCAAATGCCTTCCTCCATCCCTTCCCAAGGCATTGCTTTCCTTGGCCCTGCCCATTTTAAGTGCTGCCTCCTTCAGCAGGCAGCAGGGTGCAACAAGGGAACGACCCAGACGGACAGGCGGGCACTTTCACCCCCACAAAGCCTCGGTGCTAAATCTATAAACACGGGGATAGCTACCGCCTCCCATAAATGGTTGTGTGGACTGAAAGTATCACGTACATCAAGTACCCAGCAGAAGACTTGATTCACAGTAGATGCTCAAGAAAAGGTTAGTTTGCTTTCCACTTTCCCTCTGGTGTCCTCAGAGCTCCAGCCCAGTAAAACTTATTTTAAAAAATATTTTTACTTATATTTATTTTTTGACAAGTGATTCGTCCACATGATTCAAAACTCAAAAGATACAAAGTTACTCAGAGAAAAGTCTCCTTTCTATCCCTGTCTCCCAGCTGCCTAGTTCTTCTCCCAGCCGCCTAGTTCTTCTCTCTGGAGACAAACAGTATAACCAGTTTCTCAAGTATCCTTCTAGATCTATTATATTCACATGTAAGCAGATATATGAACGTATTCCATCTCCTACACTGATAGAGGCATTCCATATATGCTGTTCTGCATCTTGCTTTTTCCATTTAATAATACATCTTAGAGTTCTTTCCACAGTTCATAAGGAACATTTTTTTAACGTATGAGGTACAGTCATCCAGTATGTGGCAATACAATAATTTATTTAACCAGTCCCCTGACGGGCACGTGTGGAGTTTCCAATGTTTTCTCATTCTGAACAGTGCTACAATGAATACTGTTCTACATACATCTTCGTATGTATGTGCAAGTATATCTGCAGGACAATTCCTAGTTATTTCTTGAATATTCTTTCAGGCACAGAATCTTGAGTTAGCAGCAGGGACCTCACAGGTGAAATAATCCCAACTCCCACCCTTGTCTGATTTTGCTAAAGGCCTTCCAGAGATGGGGCACTTGCTAACTACCCCAGTCAGTTCACCCCGTTTGCAGAAAGCACCAATCTATAACATTTGTGTTTTTGCAGATTTAAACCTTTTTTCTAACTTCAATCCAGTGGTCCAGTTACTCCCCTAGAGTACCCCTCTTCCACAGGCAGGGCTTAGGGACATCTGGAGACAGCGCTTCTCTTCCAGGCCAAGCTGCCCCCCAACCCCCGGGCTGCACGGCCCAACCTGGCACTAAATGACACGTCAGTGCCGGGTCCCGAAGCCTGGGTTACCCTATCAGATTACAGAAGCCTGGAACTGGGCGAAGAGCAGGCACTTAGCAGATATCTGCTGATGTCCCTTCTTTTTCCTCTTCTACATTTATAGGAAAAAGTAGGGTGCCTGAAGTGAGGAAACTTTTTCCTACATGAGAGGATGAGACCTTTCCCCTGGAATTGGCTCCACCAGCCTTTGGATCCCTTCTCCAGGCCACAGAGCGTGTATGTGTGAGAATCACCACTGTAAGCACCAGGAGGGCTGGAATCAAGCATGTTTTATTCGCCATTTTACCCCCCAGGCCTGGCTCATGGTAAACAGGCAACCTATTGAATGAATGGGAGGGAGGGAAGGAGGGAATTTCCATTTACTTAGAGCCAGCAATGAAAAAGCTGTTTCCCAAGGCCTTACAGAGCACCAAGGGTGGAAAGAGTTGAAATGGAGGGTGACTCCAAGGTACCTTCTGAAATAAAGTCAAGTCATCTATATCATATATTTCATTATCATCATAATCACCTAACACGCAAAGCCCCAGACGGCTTGTCCAATCAACATCTCCTGGCTGCCCAATTCATGCGATTTTGCCGAAGGGCCTTTTGAAATCAGAGTGAACAGCATTGAACACCCTGCTGCTTCTTTGCTCTGTTCCTTCCTGCTTGCCCCCGGAGTTACCCTCACGCCAACTACAAAGGGCCAGGAAAAGCCCAGGTGTCAATAGCCTACCCTCTGGTTGGGTATGTGAGATACTTCAGACTGCAGGCCAACTGGGAAATGCTAAGGGACACTCCCAGAACTATTTCATCCAAACCAGAAAATATGCTTTGTTTTCTGTGAACTGCAGTAGCTAAGCCAAGCTGAGAAGATTCTAGTTTACTGACAGCTTGCAACTCAGGACCCCTTCCTGCCATGTCGGAAGCTCAGAGCTAGGAGGGAAGTGGCAGTGAAGAGGTTCTACTCGGGCAGAGACGGCAGGTCCCCATCCTGGCACCACAAGCACAGAGCTGTCTTGGGCTGTGGTCCTGCCCAGCCCCTCAGCCTGGGCTATGGAGACAGCGAGGAGCTGGATCTCATCTCTCTTCCTGCCACACCCCCCTAGGGCCCAGAACCAGCAGACAGGGAACATGGTCATTTCAGTCTAGACAAAGAGGAGCAGCCACCGAAGGCAGATGCCATTCTGATCTATACACTTCGTGTAGTTGAACCTTTCAGGCTTAAGTCAAAAAACAATCTGATTAGGCTGCTTTCCCAGAAACATTCTGCATCTCAGGGGAATGTCAGAGGAAGAGGCAGGTGGATTCTAATGGAAAGGCACAGTTCAATGTTCTCTTCTTTTTCTATTGTTTGGGATCAGTGACATTTTTGGAGAGAGATGAGAAGTGACTGTACTTTAATACTGCACTTCACACATACTCTATAGATAACTTAAATGTGTTTGGTAAGGTAAGGCCTGAAAGTTATCACCATAATGGACTCATGTATTCAAAAAATGCTTGGAAAGATTCCATTTTCAGAAAGTATTCAGGATTATTCTATTCAGACTTTTTTCTCTCCTACCAGGGCTATACAAAACGTATTCCCTGGATGGCTGAAAAAAGACACCCAAACACTAGAGATACTGCTGCTCAGGTCACCTGACATCTGCTCGTTTAGAACACAGGATCCTGGTTCCCACAGGCTGGTAACAGGAGGCGGTGTTCCGTGTATAGAGAGGCCTCCATTCCCCATTGCCATAGCCTGGCTGCCAGGAGAAACTCAGATTACACTAGTCTTCTCAATGGATACTGGGAGTGAGGGAGGAAGAAGACAGCTGCTGGGGGAAGAAATACCTCCCCAGGTTTTGATGGGTCTTCTGTGTGCCAGGAAGTGTGCTGGGCACGGGGAGTCCACAGGAGAACCACCAGCCTTGGCGCAACTTGGCTCCAAGGCTTGGGTGAAACCTCCCTTCCAGAAGGTGGTACAAG